TCAACAGGGCATGCGTCAAACTTCATTCATCAGCTACACGCTAATACACGCGGTCATATCAATTACATGTGATCATGCTACTCGTAATAACTGAGTAGTCGTGAATGTTTACGCTTTTCGACTAACCGATGGCTGCTTGCTTTTCGCCAGAAATAATGTAAACAATCTCATTTTGAATCTTTCTTCTGTATCCATTCATTTGTTAGCCAGTTTGCTACCAGTAGGGTAGTCAAGGGCGTTAGCCTATCTTTCCCTTAATAAAACTGGACTGAATGGAAGCGAGACCTGCTGATAACCCGCTGAAGCTTGATTTGAATGGTCCATGTGTGTCTTAGGTCGTACTAATCAGTCTGCTGTGCGATGCCGTGGACTACGAACGCCTTCGACAAGGAGTAATATGAAGTGCCGGAGGACTGCTGTGCCACACGTCGCCACAGTTTCAGCTTGGTTAAACGTTGCTATATCTTTCGTGCGCATCCGATTAGCGGTCAGTCTAGTTGCAGAGTGAAGTCGCTAGCTCACAATACAGGGACCTCAACAGAAGCAGTAACACTGGTGTGAAGGAGGTCCTAATATCAACACATGAGTCAGACATTAGTAGCAAGCTTGTGTAAAAGTCGGGTATCTCTGAATCCAAAATGCTATATGTGAATGCAGCGTGAATGGACTCTGGACAACAGAAGACATCACGAAAATGAGAAACAGAGAATTGGGGAGGCCTTTAGAGACTGTTTCCTTGTAGCAAGTGAGGGAGGGTTGCATGCCAAGGAACCAATACTCACGATCAATTTAGGGTATTTGGCCGACGAGTTGGGACGCGTGAACTTTGACGCAGAGGGTGTTTGGCTATTTTGAGGACACTTCAGACCTAAGTTACAGGTTAGCTGTACACTGCTATAAGGCTAGTAATGACTGTTTGAGCACTGAACGCTAGAATTAAATCCACTCCCTAGCCCTTCAAGTGCGGATGACATCTGGAAGTCTTTTTTTACAGAGGATCGTCATGGTATCACCCAGGGTGATTCCCTGAGCTACAGAGAACACCCAGTCATAAAGACGTCCCGTTGACGTTTGAAGGGCTTATATAATGCTCGAAATAATGCCAATATTTTGTGGTCCAGTGTAGCTTACCTAACCAGAATCCATTATTTGATTGTTCGGTGGCCAGCACAAGTAATTGGAAAGATGAAGTCCGGGGTCAAGATACCCGGTTACTTGAATTGGTTTGTGATTGTTGTCCAGTTTTAATTTCATTGCTACGCTGCTTCGTTGATTCTCTCTAGATTAAAGTGTATTCCGGGATCATGGCCGTTTCCTAAGTGTCGTGAAATACTGTACTTCTGCGTCACTTCTCTCCGCAAATTACCTGTGAGCCATCGGCCAAACGTTATTGTTGGTACTGTGGTAAAACACTGGAAGAGACTCCACCTTCCCCCCCCCACGTAACATGGGTTGTTCTGTGCTAACTTCAAGAAAAAACTGCATACTTTTGTGTTCTAAGCCCAAAATTAAAACTACTCCTAACTTAACCCTAACACTGATACTACTTTCCATACAATTTGGCACAAGGCTCCTTCTATTCAAGTTCGCAACAGTGAGAGGTCCGATGCACAACGTTATGTTCTCAGAACTCCTTCTGTTACTGAGAGCTTCCTATGCGCGTGTCTCAGCACAACTTTTTTTTAATTCCATTTCACGTGAAATTGGTTATAGAACGAGCAACGAAGTATTTTCCCCTCTTGGGCTCGCACCTCCATTTTGTGTATAGGAGCTATGACCCACTTAAAGGACTGGGATTACGCTGCCACACGTGCATGGTATGAGTACGTTGGTGTACGGTCTGCCGCCAATAAAGAGATTCTCAATTCAGATGCGAGAGAGGCAGAATTCGGGAGTCAAGCTTTACTGTGACAGAAGAGAGTTCGAACCCACCGTTTGTATCATTGATATTATTTTACCATTGGAGCAAGGTGGGCGATGGATGAGAGCGAGAGAGAGTGCGTTAGATGCAGTGTAAGTCT